AGAGAATACACAAGTGAAGGTTGACCTGCAAAGAGCTGGTGGATTCACAATAAACATGATCATCATCATCATCATCATTGTCGTCGTCGCGATGCCAGTCAAAGGTAAGCGATGCGTGTGAACACCTGTCTCAGGCTACCTCTTCCCCATTCAGCTCATCAGCTTGTTGTACGCGACTTGCATGCATTCATTGGTATCTCACAGGCACTGTCTGGCGCGCTCGATGAGTACTCGCATTTTGCGGGAGCTAGTATCTCCCAGTTCTTGAGTCCTTACATAGAGGGTCCTGGGGGGGTATTTGAGTCACAATTGTCCACCGGTGCATCAAGGACCTGATTGCAGACTCCTTGCTCCGGAATCCAGATTATTTGCACATTGTGGCCGAGACTCGACTCACACCTTGCACTGGCTGGTGGCAAGAATACAGGATTTTCGAAGCGACACGGACGGTTTTGAAAGCAATAGCATTCAGTTCTGTCAGTCTCTGAGCTTCTGCCCAGACCAGCCTAGAACTTGCATGTAGCGCGACAGATTGCAACATGCAAAGCTCATTACGTCAGCTGCTTGCTTCCCTTGTTGGACCAAAGTGTTGTTGTTGTTTTTTTCCTTCTCGAAGCCTTGGAGGCAAGAAATGGCAAGAACACTAGGGGATCTAAAGGTGTTCGCAAGATTTGAAACACTGGCGTTCAGGTGGGTTTGATTGTTGAAGCTGAACATGGATGATGTGGCAGCACAAATTGGATGCGAAGGGATGTCAGCCGAAACCTCGCCGAAGTCTCCTCGAGGCGAATATGGGCAGCTGATCACTGATCACTGCTCCCCTGGCACGACAAGAACTACTCAGCCATACTTATGCCGACTGGTCTTCCACTCTAGCCATAGCTCTTTTCCACTGCAACTAGCATGGCAGGGGCCTTTGACAAGTTGCATAGATACCAAGATGGAGCAGAGGCTTCCACGATCAATTTGTGTGCCACTTCTCACAACGACCACTCTTCCACAGATGAACAGGATCTATACCTGCAGAAGTGTCTAAAAATCAGGAGAATAAGAATTGTGAGAAAGCCCCCTGCCAGAAGAAAACCGTTCGCACAGCTTAGGATCAAGACAGGTGGCGGGTCAGGGCCACAGCATCAAGATGGTGTCCTTTGGGCTTGTCTCAGTGGGTGCAGCAATGTAGACCCGCTGGGATAAGATTCCGGTTATATTGGGGTTAGGGTGCAGGGTTCAGGACTTGGAAATTTTGACTCTGTTGGGGGGTGCGCGGGACACATGTGAGTGACCAGGGCATGATGGGGTCCCTGTAACCCCTGTGATAATCCAAACCTGAGGTCTGGTTCCTGCTCTCCTTCCGACATGAGATGCTTCTGCCCGTTCTTTTGCAGGCAGCTTGGGTACGATGACAGAGCAAGCCATGCGACTGAACAAGGATGCGTTTTCTCCGGCCACAAGTCAATTTTAGCTCGAATGCAAGCAGCGTCCCCAGCAAGATGCCTCTTCTGGCAGGTACTCCGCATCCATATCAGCGTAGACAACCTGCGCGCCTTCTTTCGAGGAATGCAGGGTGCATCTGCAGGCAATGTCCCTCTGCGCTGACCGTTCATGCGCTGATGGCACTGCCACTGCGGCAAACACATTCTCTAAGTCATCGGACCAATACTGATTTCAGTTTGCTGCTTAAGTACCGCATGCGGGACCAGCAGATTCTTTTGCAATTAAATGTGGCAGGCAGAATCATTCTGCCAAGAGCTCAGCTGTTGCATTTCAAGACAGCGCACCAGTTTTTCTTAAGTTAAAATGACTCCTGAGCCCGTGGCCATGCCTGCTAGTGTCGCTCGTAGCCGTAGCCTGACCAACCAAGGACCGTTGCATGTTGCGTCACCGGGACGGCAGTCAGCTTCATTTTGCTCAATCTTATAGAATTATCAGGCGGAGCAAATGCAGCTGTAGGCACGAAGAGTTTGTCTTGAATCCTCATGCACGCTTTTGACATGTTTTGACTTTAAAGCATCTGCTGGTTCGACATCAAAGGTGGCGTTGCTGCCGAAGCTTCTGATTTTCCTGCCAGCACTGCTGGTCACCTTCTTGATGGGGCTGCCCCCTACGCAGCTGGGCTTTTTTGGGAAGGCTCTTTGCCATCGTCTTCTCTTTATCTGAAGCCAGGAAGGCTCCAGTCGTTCGCTGAGGTGGGCTGCCTGCGCGCTGCTTGAGAGAGCCACTGGCCGGTCCTACTGGCACGCTAAGGCAGGTCCATGTCAAATTAAGCTGACTTCTGGAGCTGCCTGTTTCAATCTGTTTTGAGGAAGGTCCACATATGGGGGTCCTATACAGCTTCGTCTTCCCGGCGGCGGCTCTGGTGAAGCTTGACGAGTAATCATGATGACATGCGACTTGCAAACACCTTCTAGTCTCACCCAAAGTGGCTCTGCACTGATGCCAGTCACGGATCCCCCCAGCCAAGCAGATATTGTTTGAGGGCTGAAGCCGCTTGGTTCGTGCCTCCAAGGAACAGAATGTTTTATCAATTCTCTGCCGAGTGCCAGGCTCAGCGAGGAAACAACAGCATGCGCAATCAATATAATCCCTATGTCCCCTATATCACCCTTGTTTTGCCCCTATATACTATAGTAGTTTCTATTTCCTTTCCATTATCCCTATATAACCCTGATACATACCCTTTAATCCCTAAATGATGTCGGAGACATTCTTGTGGCCGCTCAGAGTGCCAAGCAAGCTAAGGACGTACCTTTGCACACATGCTCGAGCCAACCTCATCCCGCTCCACGAAGGGCACTTTACCATGGACGCGCCACTGATTTGCTTCCTGATCACCATGTTCTTTTGCAGCCTTGCCGTGCTCGAGCCTTCCTCAGTGGAATTGAAGCGTGTGCTGCACTCTTTGTCAGATGAAACAAATGCAGCATTTGTCCGATTGCCTTATTTGCAATGTCAAGGTTCCTCTCCGGCTACTGCTAGCGTTCTTTCCTGAGACGTGCGGCAGGCCATCCAAGCTGTGAGTTGATGCATCACTGCTTGAGCTTCTCTTCGCACTGTGATTGGAAACTGGAAACAGGGGGGTGTTCGCCTTCCTGAGCCCGGCTGGATTTTACATCCGTTGGCTGGAGAATCCCCTGCACAACACCAGAAGCTTGCGTTTGGATCGAGAAGGTTACGAGGAGGGGGGTGAGAATAAGTGCAGCGCTTCACAACTCACGATCGCCTGTGAAGAGGAGCACCAACGGCACTTCTTCAAGGAAGGAGCACATCCATCATGCAGGCGGCGGATGGAGCATCCAAGTGCGGACAAGGAAGCACGACCTGCGCAGGTATTGCGAGCACCTGACCAAGGGCGAGACTCACATTGAGGAACTGCGCGAGTCTCCTGCGCAGGCTATGTGTCGGTATTTCGCTCTATAGGGGACATTATGTAGGATTGTGGGTTTGTGATATAGTAAGTCCCTTTTTGCTGACCTTATCGTGCCAGGCCTTCATGTATGATGGACTGCGGCAATGCTGGGAACTCCCATGCTTGCAGGAGTCTTAGATCGGAGCGTCTCGCAGATTCCCCCAATTCTGAAATTAGGGTCAAACCGACATCATGCTACACCCCACACCCCCAAATTCCAAGGCATCACTACCTTTTCGCTGCACAGCGTGGGGCTGTGAGTGCTGTGGAGCTTCTTGGAGTCATTGACACGCTGAGGCACGCGCCTCAGACCGGACCATTTTCCTAGGTTGTCGTGATTATGTGTCTACAAGAAAGTATGCCTTAATTACGTGGGGCAGCATGAGTTGATGTAGGATTTCTTGGTGTAGGGGGTGGCTCTCAAACATTGATTCTTTGCTGGCTTGCGTGTGTGCGCTGTAGGATGTTGTTCGGACTGTTTGCTGATTCTCTCAAACTTGCCGGGTTCGTTCTTTCTAATTGAGAGTTCTCACAGGGATGATGTGAGGTTCTCTGAACATGCCACGAGTACGCACATCGGAATGACACTTTTCTCCCAGCAAGTGCATGCATCCCTTTGCAAGGGGCGACAGGGATACTAAAAGGTGTTCCGTGCAGGGTAGGGCGTAAGGCCTAGAGGATTTTGCAAAATTGCAGGTCCTTCATGGGACCCGCTGTAGTCAGGACTAGGGAATGAACAGACCTTCTCCGATAAATGCTACTTGCAGCAATTGATTGTGCCTTGCAAGCTGAACCTACAAGAGCTCTCCACTGAGTCCAGGCTTACGCACACCAACAGAGAACTCCATAAGGGGCCTGGAAGGCTACGTGGGGTGCCATGTTGGTTCGGGGGAGTAGTTTGGGTGCGAGTCGAATTTGGGCTTGTCAAATTTTGAGGAGAGGAGGCAACTTTCTCTGCCGTACCCGTCACTTCTTGCCGGGATTTTCTCGGTCAATCAACCCCAAACCCTGAACAGTGCCGTCTGACTGCGCTCAGCAAAAGGTCACGCCAAACCTCTGTGCGCCGCCTTCGCTCCAAGCTTGACATGGCCTTTGACTTTGCTACGGGCTTGAAGAAGGCACGTGAAAATTGCAGAAACTGGATATGTTTGCCCGACTGACAGCTTTTGCATTCCGCGAACTCCTGCCAGGCGGAGCAGCTTCGCAAGCCTGGCTCCCAATCGCAATTTCTTCTTGCAGACCTGCGAAGTAGTTTTGCCCACATTGATGGTGAGTTGGAACTGCAGCAGGATGCCGGTCTTTTTCCACATGCGGTCCTGTTTTGGGCATCTGTTTTATACAACGCTAGGCTGTTTAATCTCATTTACTTTCTACACGTGCTAGTACCTTCTGACCTAGTTTTGGGATCAATGATGCTCCCGCAAGATGCTGCCGAAAAGGTTACAATCAGCTACAATTGCTCTTCTAGTTCACAGCACTCTAGCCTACCGACAAGACTCTGTACTGATAGATCTACTCCTTGAATGATAGCCACTCTCACTGTCCTTAGTTGTAGTATGGACCATGGAATGGAACCAGTAGCGCAGTGGTTTGCAAAACCGGTACAGCAAAAAGCAATCTTGCTTTTACTGTAGCCACGTCGTAACACTGGTATCTGAGAACAGGAAAATGTTTTCGGAAAATTAAATCAAACTCGCATTGGAACAATCCTACAGCAGCCCTGAGCAGCAATGATGTTATCTGCTGTTCCACTCATCGCTGCTCCAGGTCACAGATGCAGCCTGATGACCACATCACAGTGATCGATGGTGAATTTGGCAGCGGCACCCGCAAGGCCACCACTGCCCTTCGGTCAGCTGGGAATGAAGGAATGGAAAAGAAAATGGAAGTTAATATAGAGACTACTAAAAAGATCCATTCCTTCATTCCTAGTTCACCAAAGGCAAGCCTTTATCACACAAGGTGCAGCAGTACTGGTTGCAATTCATTCAGATGTAGGAGGTCCAGCGAGATCAAGAAGCATCTGCATGCGAAGGCTTTGATAGAGTTCCTCATGGACCAGGGCGAGCTGAACCGCAGTTTTAACACACCCAACCACCGGGTGACCTGGGGGCAGGTGGGCTGCCTCGGCTCAGTTTGGGTTCAGGGTGCATCATTCTGGCAAGCATTCAGTACCAAATGGGCGGAGGCGTTCTGAGAATCCCAGTATAGACCCCAAAATGCTGTAATCCTTGGCATTGGGAACCCCCGAATCCCGGGCCCATAATTATGGGACAGCCCCATACTGCGCAGTAGCAACTTCTCACGATGCATCTCGTGGCTCCTGTCGCAGGATGCTTGCAAGGCACTGCAAAGCTATCTGAAGCGGCATCTTAGCAGCATTTGGGGGTTTCCCATGTTGGGGCTCCCAATTCGGGGATCCCCATAGTAAGGATTTCCACGATGTGGGGTCTATAGTGGAGTTCACCTGTTTATGGAAACTACCATGTGTGCTTTTGCTCAGGTTGTCATCATAACTAAGACTCTTCCACACAACCTCTGTTTCGTCAAATTGTGCAACTCACCAGGTTTTGCTTAGTCTGGAAAGAGCATTTACAACACGTAAGCTCTGAAGCCAAGTGGTGCTAGATTTCGTGTGGAGGGACACGTTGCGAGACTCATTGTGGTCCGACAGCAACCCTTCAATTTCCAGCTGTAATCCAATTTTGCAGGCGTATGATTAAGATAAGAAGGATTGAGTATGCCTCTAATGTGTGACCAGACACGCACATTGTTCATCATGCGCGTGCTTCACCGCAAGTTCAGGACTGGGTTCTACACAGGCTGCGCGGCTGATGCATGTTGGTGATGATCCCATGTGCTGTGCTAGGTCAACATACCCTGCACCATTACTGGCGCAGGAAAACTGGTAATGTGGTTGCCACTGATTGTAGTGTGGAGGCCCGCTCCACGGACAGCTGGAGGATGTCTGGACGATCCGAGCACTAAGATCCTGGCTATTGGACCTGGGCTTCATTTACAAGAGATGGCTTGTGGACAAGGATGGTGAGTTGGGCAGGCACTCTTGCTGTGGCGAAAGTTTGCTAGTTTCGGTCTGGTTGAGGGTTTCCCCTAATTAGGGGTGTCATTTTCGGACCTCCACAATGAGGATTAGATAGAATATTTGGGGTTTGTATTGGGTCCCCGAATTTTCGGAAGCTACCAAATGTGCGCCTAAAGGTGGACCACCATTGCGCTACAGCGCTTCCTGGTTTCCACTCGCGAGCGCGCTCACGGCAACAGGCCTTGGTTGTTTGCACCAACGCTGCAGCAGAGGGAATGTAAGCCACATGAGCTGTAGCATAGGGGATTACTTAAGGGGTTATCAGAGGGAATACTAGGAGATTAGACTATGGCTCACATGACCAGGGGCTTGGCTGTCGATGGTCAGTGGACTGTCGATTTCATCTTTGCGTTCCAGGAGTGGCGGCATGTGACTCTGCTTGTGCTGATGACCTGTCTAGCAGCACACTTCTTGGTTAGGATTTCTTGGCCCGAAGTGGCGGGCCTCTCGGAATGCTTGCTGCACACATTGCACTAGCTGCAGCCCTGCTTTAGCCTCCGATCACTTGAGCCGAAGGCACTGCAAGCCCTCGGACGGGCACGTGGGAGCCTACGAACACAAAGGCCATCCAGGAATTTCTGGCAAGGTGCACCCAGCGTTCGGATCATGTTTCAACTACGGCTACTCCAGAAGTCCGTTTTAACATTACGCACAGGCGGGGCTACCTGGCCGAGCAGCGGGCTTATGTCGACGAGATTGACGAGGAGGACAGCATCAAGTCAAACTGGGATTTGTCTACAAAACAAGCGGTAGGCGTCAATAAATCACTTCATTGCAAACCTGCTTGCCTTCTCGGATTGAGCTCAGTGCGTGCAGAGGTTTGCCGTGGGATTCAAGGCTGGCTTCGAGATCAAGGCTTTCCGTGCGGCCTCAATGGAGAATTCGTCCCTCGCCCTCGTTTGCCAGCAAGAGCTGATTCCGCAGCATTCCCTGTAGATGTTTCATGTATGGTTCTTTCTCCGAATGAGAACTAGTCAGTCTGGAACCACTTGAGGCAGATGGTGTGGACGGGACGTTTGACATAGGGACGAAGCTGGCCCTGCAGCTGTTCCTCAAGTCTGATCGCGCAATGCTGGTGCACAAGGACCCACGGCAGCCTTCTCACTCAGGATTGGTAATTTGTGATGGTAGTGGCCATACAGAGGAATGGCCATACGGCTCTTGCGAGAGCAAACCCCCAATTTGGAAGCAAGCTTGTTGAACACGATGTGCGCAAACCGATGCGTCAGGACCTAATCACCAACGGAAAGTGGAGGCCTGAGACAATCAGGAGATTGCAGGACTGGCTTCCCCTGAAACTGCATCCCGGATTTGTGTCTGCAATCGATATGTTGCCCGTTGAATTTTGATGTGAGGAGTTCATGTCCGAAGAGAATCCAAATCTGGAGGTGAACGGGCTTTGGGACCTTGCTTCAGGGCAGGCCCTACAAGCATTCCTGAAGAGCCAGGCAAGGAAATTGCCAGGCACACCTTGCATGCAGAGCTATTTGTGGCTGCGGCACCTTTCCAGGGACGTTATGTCAGCTTTGTGGATGGAGACTTTGGCGGAGTTTCGGTGCTGGCTCTGCAGGAGGGCGTCAGTCGAACACGTTGCATGGTACAACAATGTATAATGTTGATGTTGCAGGCCTGGTTGCGGGATGAGGCCAGGCGGTCAGTTTGGGGGGAGGAGCAACAATCATGCCGGGGAGGAAAAATCTTAGGCTTGTACCATCTCCTGGCCTAGCAGAAGTCTCGGACTGCTCAGGGCTTCAGCTGCGGCGTTGATGGCCCTCGCTGCGATGGAGTGTCCGGCAATTGGACGAAGGAAGATCGGCCAAGTCTCATGGAGCTTTCTTGGTACTAGTAGAAGCATTGGCTCTGGTTCATGCTTGTTCCGCCGCATTGGTGCTTGAAGCTCCTGTCTTCAATTACAGTCTGGGGTGTGATCATAAAGATTACAGTTTTTGCGTCATTGCGGCTTCCCATCCACCCGACTCACAGCTATTCGCAGCACGTGCTGCAGGAGACAACCGCCGCACTGCAAAGGTTTCTCAACTCCAGGACTGGGTCACGAGTGCAAATGGGTACATGTGGGACCCTCATCGTCCTCATGTGACAACTTGGCGAATGCTGCAATTGCGTCCTTGGGGCTTCGCTCCCGTTCAACATGGCGTGTTACTCTCGAACAACAACATGCCAGCGTAAAGCCAATTTAGTGCATTTTAGTGCCAAAGAACACATATTTGTAGCACAGACGTCCAAGTTGGCACAGTAGCACTGGCACAGCGGCATGGTTGCAGGAAAGCATCCGCTGGAACCGATGCTCCATCTGTCTGGTTGGAGGCGGAGCACGGAGATGATCTTAAGGCACGAGTTCTTGTGTCATCAGTGCTCTCTGACTGTCCTTGCAGTGAGACTACCATCCTGAGAAACAACTGCATGCAGAGACACAGCTGAGCTGCAACAGATTGTACGCAGGCAGCCTTTACTTTGTAGAACTTACCAGAAATACTCACTTGAAAGCTCTGGCAAGGCTTCCTGTTGGGCCTTGGCACTCTTTGGTGGCGCTGAAAACCAAATGCCAGAGGACAGATTTCATGCCTGCGCATCAGTCGTCTACATAAGGCTCTTGGTAGACGGTGCCAAGATGAAAGAGGGCTCGCCTGCGCTGGAGTGCGGTTATTGTCAAAATTGTTTCGTCCCCGGACTGCGCCAGGACGCCTTGAATTTGCTGACAACTCTTGACCTGGAGAACGGTCGCAAGACTGCGGAGGCAACCCTGCGCCTGTGGCATCATGACTTCAGAACAGCAAAGTTCAGTCGTCAGGCTCGTCAGCTGTTGCGCGACTCTGGCATGCCTGTGCCGTCCGAATGGCCGGGGTCTGTAAAGTGGCAGAGATTCTGAACGGCCTTGCAGTTGCAACCCAAAGCCTAAAGGTGGGGAACGGCGCAGCTCTTGTCCAACCTCGGCAACGGATCGTGGCTGGATGCTGCCGGAAGTGATGCAGCAGTGGCCGCCGTGCACTTTGGCCACTAATGAAGAAGCCATTTTCTAGGAATGCTTAGGGGAATGCAGGGCGGACTTTTTTAAGTTGACGGGTGCAAGACGGCTTAAGGCTTGCCTTGCGAAGCCTTGAGTCTGCGGACGAGGCAGGAGCACGATTGGCAGCAAGCCATGTAAGCATAGCTCCGCATCAAATGACTTATCCATGTAATTCCCTAGAGCAAGTGAAAGGCCCCAGAGGGAGTGTTCGAGATGGGCATCGCGCAACTACTCAGCTGTACCCTGAGTGTATTGGGTTTCCGGGCTCATGCCAGCACTGCAAGCCGCAAGTTCTTTGCACGAAACATGCTTGTGAGGTCATCTACGTGTAGGCTCCGCGCAGGCAGTGGAGGCGACTTCGGATGGGATTGCATCATCTGGGTCGCATGCAATGGCCATGTTGCTGGTGGTGTTTGCATGCAGCTCTTGGCTTTAAAGGCGGCTTGCGCAGCGCTGGGCAGACTGGCTGAACTTTATCTTCTGCGAGTGGAGGCCCACAGTGTACCACGCCTGCCTTCATAGCATGACAGAGATCTAAAGGAGAAGCAATATGGATAATTGCTCTTGAAGCTGCCACATGTACTGCAGCCTTTCTTTGGCCGCTTGATGATGTTTGTACAGGTCCATGACTGCGCCCGGAAGATTCTGGCACTACGCTTGCGAGCCAACTCGCAGATACATCCTGCCGAAGCCTCAAGAGCTGCTCAGACCAGTTTTGGGCACAGAGAAGGATACTCCAAGCTGAGGCCATTGCGCGCGGGTTGACTTGGTTGAAAGGCCTGGTCCCCCAGCTCTGGCCGGTGCTCAGGCCTGACTAGAATGTCTACACACATCACAAACTGCGTACCACTTGACTTCGAAACCCATCCTGTCCTGCAAACTCCTGAGGAAGGTGCCTGTCCAGGTAGAGCCTTTTGATCCGCGTTGCCTCCGGAGATTCCCATCAAGATGCAATAAGAAGCCCGTGATGCCATGTTTGCATTTATAGCTGTACAGCCCTCTTATTGTCCTTGCAGAACCCAGGTTGCCCCCCAGCAACTATCCACCAAAGAAGTGACAACTCCAGTATTAAGAGGTAGTCCCTCCCAGACTTAGTGTAATATATAGTAGTTTCCATTTTCTTTTCCATTATCCCTATATAACCCCAATATACTATAGTAGTTTCCATTTTATTTTCCATTATCCCAATCTTACCCCAATATAACCCCTATATAATCCCAGTTTCCATTTCATTTTCCATTTTCTTTTCCATTTGATTCTCCATTATTGGGGCAATACTATAGTAGTTTCCATTTGATTTTCCATTATGCCAATATAACCCCAATATAACCCCTACAATCCCTACATAACCCATTATAGTAGTCTCCATCTTCTTTTCCATTATCCCAACATAACCCTAAACCCTAAACCCTTATAGTTTCCATTATCCCAATATAACCTGCCTTCCCGTCAGAAGTGGCAGGGAGCGGCTCCAGAGCGCGGATGGCCTGGATTTGAAGATTGCAGCAGAGGAGCCTGGCACAGAACATGGGATTACAAATGGGTTAGTAATAGTAATAATAATAGGGTTTAGGGTTTAGGGCTTCATAATAGTAATAATAATAGTAATAGTAATAGCAATAGTAATAATAGTAATATATACTATAGTAGTTTCCATTTTCTTTTCCATTATCCCTATGGGTTGGGGAGTTCCCAATTGATAGGGAATCTATGGGGTCATCAGGCATTAGCGTTTCTCACCAGTCCCAAAATAAAGCATACCTTTGATTTTGCCAGATGGTGGGCCCTAGTGTGCTGGGCAGTGGGTGCTGTTGCACAGGCATTGGCTGCGCTGGATGCGGAGAAACTTCTTCCGGACCACGTCCTGGGTTCCTGCGCTGCCGTTCTGGGACCCAGACTGCACGAGGAGGACCGCGGCTGCCGAAAAGATTGACCACTCTGACAAGCTACACGACAACGAATGATTACACTTGCGAAGAGAGATCAATAGGAAGTGGCTGAGGACTTGCAGAGATACCGGGGGCCGGGTTCTAGTTTCAAACGCTTCGTCTACTGACTCTACTAGCAGCAGTAAAAGCCCATCCAGAGATGGCAGATCTCGGCGGTCATTTGAAGGTTTAGTTGTTGGTCAGGGTCTCTGGGTTACGGTAGCTCCCTGAATTCATAGACAAGGGAGGCTGGCGGCAACGATAAACGAGGACGACACTTTTGTCGCAGGATCTTTGTCAGGTCTATGTTATTCATTACTGATAGTCAACGCAGCCACGACTGCCGCAACTGCTGCCGCCACGCTAGACACCCATATTTCTTATCCGCACAGAACTACCTAGCATGCCTTTTGCAAGTATCCCGGAAAGTGGAGGATTGGCTCGTTCGCGTGGGTGCTTGCCATGGGTTGGCAGCGTTTGGAAGGAAGGCTGGATTTCAAATGAGTGTTTGAGCTCTGGTTGTCGTATGGGAGGGATTCTGGATAAGCACTTGTCCTGGTTCAAGAAGGTCTCGTCATGTGAGATGGATCCCAAGAGCTTGAACGTTGACACTGTAGACATTCTGTAGACAAATTTAATTTGAGCTCATGGACCAAGAGCACAACGTTCCAACCTTGCAGGCTGCTGGGCCATACCTTGATCCGATTCAGCAGCTAGTGGACGATGACGAGGACGTGCTGCAAAGAGAGCTCACGCTTCCGTCACCCGAAGAATGAGTATCCCCAAGCTATGTCATGGTACCATATTGGGAATATGTACGAATTAGTTGACGGCTTACGGTTCCAATGCTGCACAGACCACCACCTGGCAGCAGGGATGATGCCGTTTTAGGCAGAGTATCTAGGCCGTTGTGTGCTCAGCAATCAGCTCCTGGATCGAACGCAGGGCCCAGTGGTGGCGGCAGCAGCCTATGCCGTGAGCCAACTCATGGAAGTCAGGAACAACCGGCTGCCACAGCCTGAGAATCATGATGTGAGCCTTGGTTCCTTGATGTGCAGACAAGCACACAGCATACTGAGATGTGGGGACCTGGGTGCGACCAGAAATGCGTACAAGTATGGCCATTTCAGTGATTCATTTGCTTCTCGAATGCAGGTTGGGCGTTGTTCGGAGGCTGGAGCGTGCTTTGCCCAAGCCTTGCGTGCATCCCCAAGGGCTGCCGTGCCCGCATCCTGTGTCATCCTGTTTCTCTTCAATTTTCATGGACTGTTCTGGTCTGCCCTTCCCCATCCCCCTGGTTCCTCAACTGGGGAGGCTGCAAGCCCGGCTACCTGACACCGAGAGTGATTCCTGGGTACGTGCTGGCGCCTGCCAGGCAAGCAAGCTCATGCGTCAGAGATGCTCGCTGCGCTGTGGTGCATTTTTCTCGAATTTTTACGTGGGTGCGTATTCAGGGTCTTGGATTGCTCGGCATTGTCGATGACGACACCATAACTGCCATCGCCTCAGACTTCAGTTTGGCGAGCACTGGAGTGGGCAGCCCCCGCAACGCGCACTGTGACCTGGACAGCAGCAGACACGGTGAGGTGCTGTCTTCACACCTCACTGACACGGAAGTCATTGTCGTGGAGGCTGCGGCCGAGGCTCGTGCGGCATCCGGGCATCAAGCGCCATTGAAATTTGAAGTCAGAAAAGTGGTGTTGCGATACTAAATCAAACTCAGGGATCGTGCCCAGCATGTTGTTCAGGCCCTGTGCAACCTGCAGATGATGAATGCGATACCCCTGAAGGCCTTGGCACTCCCCTGCAGATTATGCAAGCAATATAGCTGTGGAATACTCGCCGCTTTGCCAGGTTCTAGAAGATCAAGCCAGAGAGACCAGCCTGCGGCTGCAACACTCTGACTGGCTCACAAGGCTGGGGGCTCTTCATAGCTGCACAAGGTGCCGTCACTAGTCAAGTGCCATTAAGGTAGCTGGTGAGACTTGACACCAGGTAGCATTCAAACTTCGCTGGAGTAGGTGGAAGCATGGGTCTGCACATAGGGACACACCAGATGGCAATCAAGCAGACAATCGATGTTAAGCGGTGGGCGATTGCCGGAATAGCTAGCAGACTGCTACAGTACTCGGCCACAGGAGCGGTCATGATGTAAATGACAACAGCTAAAATCTCATCCATGCATGTAGTAGACTTGTTTTGAAGCTCACTCTGAAGCTGATGGCCAAACCTTTGCAATACGAAAGCTGCTGCAGGATAGTTTGTATAAGCATCATGGCGTAACCGAAGCTTTCCCGCAAGAAGCACAGCCTGCAGTAAACCCCGGGGGATGCGTATTCTGCAGCTTGCCAGCTAGCAACATTTGGTGTTGAGATCAGATTTGAGCCCATTTGGTAGTTTCCCAAAACAAGGGGACCCCTATATAGACCCTAATATATCATAATCCTCATTATATCACCCCAATTTGGGGAAACTTTCATGTGTGCATTTGTTTTGCAGGTGGGCAGCCTGCATTTGCTTGGGCTCATTGGGCACGGCTGCACATCCGTACCTTCAGGAGCTATGATAGACATGCTACAAGCATTCTGAAAGCATCAGAAAGATAGTGTAGGCACGGGGGTTAGGAGTTTCTTCACTCAAGTAGCAACATGGTGGAACGGAAACAATTCGGGCTTACAGAAGTGACATGCGATGGTGTGTGGGTGTTGAGCTGACGACTCCGTTTAGGATTCCTCATTTAGTCTCATTCAGAATGCAGCTACTCCGGGGCCAGAGCCACCATTGACAGTGACCGTCATATCATGTCACACTTTCATGAATTTTTGTTTGCAGAAAAGTGTTGCAGGCGACCTGGAGCCTGTCTAGCTTTCACTCTAGCCCCTTCTACAGCGTTTCATGAGGAGCTTCAAGAAAGAGTTGCAGACGAAGACGAAAACCGGGTCGTTCACGATGCTGCGAAGATGAGCTTGGCAAGGCCTGAACGGAGTACTTGAATACAGCCCGGTACGTTCCAGCTTGCCTGGAGATGACTGCATGTTGGATTTACGGTCGAACTGACCGCAAACTATGAGATGGGATAGTTACGAAAGTTTTCCAAGAAATGCTATTCAAAGCTCAGCTTTGCTGATTAGTGCTAAGGCATGCTATAAAGGGGCTGTGGAACGGGAACCCCAGGATTTGGCCCAATTTCCTAGGCCTTTGCCTTGCTATTTGCGGAGACTTTCCTTGGGAAACGTGCTTGGGTGATGTCAGGTTGACAGCCATCCAGCGGAGCGAGCGCAGCCTCGATAAGATCCAGACAATTTTCAGTGGTGTAGATGACCGATCCGCCAAACATGGCCAAGTTCGTTAGCTGAAAGGTTGAGATAGCTCCAGTCGCAAAGCGACTTCTGCCAGAAGCAGTTGTGCATGAGCTGCGTACTGAGCAGCGCTGGCACATCCACAATGTAAATTTGGATGTCCCATTGATAATGAGGGTGGTCAAAGTTTGCCTCCCATTGTTTACATGTAGAAAAGGACCCACTGCACCCATCTGTAAGTTCTGGGCTTGGCAGAAGACAACTAGATTTGCAGGACCGATGCGGTAGATCTCAGTAGATGCTACAGGACCAGCCAAAATCTGGGATGCAGCCTGGCAGCGGCATTCATGCCTGCGCTTCACAAGTTGCTATTTGACTGTTCAGCAGAATGCTCGACAGCATCTAGCCCGATTTTACCCATCCACCCATCAAACCGATGGCTGTGGAGGAGTCAACCTCCAATTGCAAGCAGGCGGAAAACAAAAAGTATACCAGGTCCGAGCCAATGCTTTTTCACTTGTTGACTCTTGAGCCCCTTGAAGATTGAGTCACACGAGTTTTCAGCAGACTTGTGCTGATGGAGATGAAAGGGAGGCTTTCAGGTTTTCGGATTGCATGCGTTGCGTGCGGAAAGGAGCTGGGAGGCGTGATCGGCCTGGTGGGTTGGGGCCACAAACATGTCAATGTGCAACACGCATGCTAGCCATGATTAAGCAGTTGACCTGAGGACATTTGCTGAGCTCCACTCCATTGGACAACCGCAAGCGCAACATGCCCCTCCACCTCTTCCATGAGGACAACAAGTTTGAAGCGAATTTGCGTTGGGCGTCTGGCTAAGACAGGGCGATGCCTTTGTGAGTTTCGCAAGTGCAGGAGTCAGATAAAGAGATGCGGTGGAAGTGGGCTGGCATCTTAGCTAGCTTGGATACTCGGGTAGATGAGCAGAGTCATGAGGCTTCTCCTTGCTGTTTCCAACCGACTCTGTGCGCTTCACTCGCGTGCTATTGACTGCCGCTGGAGAGGTAAAGGGTTCAGTGCAGCGCCTCATTGATGCTGGATTCAACGCCAGAACCTCGAAGTCTTGCACAAAGACTGCGACCCAGGTTTTTGTCCAAGCTCAAGAGCAGTGCATTGAATGGTGACTTAATCAGAGTCCCATGTCACCACAACTCAGTCCAGTCTACCTAACTCAGACATTGATTGCAGCAATCAACATTTCCTGCACGTTCCTGCATGGGTGGCAGTCAATCTTGTTCAAATCACCACTGTCATTGCTTGTACCTTGAGGTATCCTCAAAGCGGGAACGTGATCCTGCTGGGTGCGGCCATTGGATCCAGGCCTGCAATGTTGCCTCCTTTGAGCTTCTGCAGCAAACAGCTAAATCGACTCTCCAGGAGATTGAGGGCACCTGGATCAGAAGTGCTTTGAGGCAGCTCACTACGCAAAGCTGGCTTGCTTGAGAAGGCGATGTGGCCCTGGAACATTTGTGCAGGCACATTGTTTTTAGTGATGCGCACTGACATCATCAACTCGCCTGGAACCCATATGTTAAGGTTCATGCAGGTTTTTCTGCAACATTGCCGAGCGAGCATGAGTTGTCGTGGCATATGGTGGCTTGCTGTGGTTTTGCCCGATGATAGCATTAACTTGGAATGTTTTTCAGAGCAGTTCCTGTATTGGTTTCATGGCTTGGAAAAGCGCCACATCTTGGAAAATGGCTGAGGAAAAGATCCAAAGAGAATTCTGAACCAGCAGCGCGCTTGCAGAATCCCAGTAGGCAAGGCCAGGGGAGGAGCCTTCACCAGACGCCTCTTGCACGCAAAATCCTGCAATATGAGAAATATTGCGGGCAATTCAAGAAACATATAAATCTGATGAAAAAAAATATTCAAAGATAAGAGGTCCAGATATTCCCCTTGCCTAGAATTCAAATAATTATCAGATTAGATCCTCGAATCCAAATGCAATAGCTTTGGATCCATGCTGAGCGACGCATTCTATAATTTCAATAACTTCGAAATTTCATATAAGAAATTGATTCGTTTTCTTAATGAAAACGAAGATCTCAGAAAGATTAGATTCTCTCATTAATCTGAAAATCAATGAAATTCGACAGCTACAGAATCTATAGAGAAGTTATATTTTCCTATCTCAATAATACCACGCGATTATTTATATTATTTCGCTCTCGCGCGACTTACCTAATATTAAAATAAATCTTTAGGCATTCTAAAATCTCAGAGATTTTAAAGGTCTTCGGTAAAACTAGAGGCTTTAGAATCTTCGAGATTTTCTGATATGGATGGCGCGATTAAAACATCTCAAAGATTTCTGGTCGCGATATGATTTTGCGTATTATGAACCTCTGTTGGCTGGTTGCGTTGACGGTCGCTGGAGCGCGTATATTGGAGATTGAATTTCTATAATTTTTTTCATCTCGAATGATTTTAATCGCGCGATATTCCGTATCCGATCGATCTTTCCGCTTTAAATTTCTCTCCTAATTATCTATATATCATTTCGAACAATTCTCGATGATAGATACGATCACTCTATAAATTCTGATTTGGAATTATTTCTTTTCTTTTGGTTATCTGCGTGGCGGGACGGAGATCTTAGATTTTCAATTTATTTTCTGGAATGATTTTTCGCGTGATTTAATTTTTTGAAATTATTTACGCGAATAGAATACTTTCTTTTTTTTATAACTTGCGCTATAATTCGAAAGAATATATAGAGTCGAAATCGAGATCTGAAATTCGATAGCTCGCACGATTTTTGGAATAATCTTCTATATAATTTATTTCTCTTTGAAAATCGATAAAATTACTCCTATGATAGGGAAGCAATATTGTTCAGAATCTATCAATAGATTATATATTTTGAGATATAAAAAAATTATTCAATATATAATTAGATATCTAATTTTTTCTTTTCTTTTGACTATCTTTGCGGCGGAATATATAGATCCGGAATAATTTTCCGCGTGATTCATTTTTCTTAGATTCTCTATTCGGCGGAGCGGATAATCCCGGAATCCTAAATAATTTATATTTCTAAATTCTTCTCCTACTCATGTTAGACCTAAATCTAAATATTTCAGAATTTAGAAAGGTAGACCGTATCTATCTGCAGGAATTTATGCCTTCCCCTAAGCCGACACGTAGATAGCTTCCCAAGAGAGATAATTGAGACGCCAAGATCGGACCGCCAAAAATCTCCCCGAGATTTGCAATTATGACTTTGCCTTTTGCTCGTCTATACGCTGCCTTTGATATATCATATAGACCAAGGCGGAAATTTAAAATCTTCTATATTCTAAAGCGCGCAATCTTTGCCTCTGGAGCATTCTTCTGCGTCATTTATCTCTCTTTGGCTATCTACGCGATTGGCGATTCTTCGGAAGAATGCATATCTTTAGGACGGAAAACCAAAATCTTTCAGATTTTATAATTTGATCGTATTTATTGAGATAGAAAGATAGGACCGGATGCGGCGGTCGCACGACCAAAAATCGTCCGAGATTTCGAACCATCTCTCTCTCTTTCTTTGGCTATCTGCGCGGCGGCTCGAAGGAACTTGAAGACCCAAGACGGAGATCCGAAATCTTGCGGAATTAATAGATCGCACGCTCCTTGCTTCCAGAGAGGTCTTCCTCGTGATTTATCTCTCTTTGAATATCTCTTCGGCGGAGCATATAGACCCGAGATAGAGAATCAGAATCTTTCAGAAGTTATATTTTGGTCGTATGTATTGAGGCGGCAAGATCGGGTCGGATGCGGGAGATATTCGACCAAAAATCTGTCGTAGATTTAGATTCATTTCTCTCTCTTTGGTTATCTGCGCAATGGTTCGGGTTTAGATCCGGAATAGAGATCTAAAATCTTTCAGAATTTATAGATTGATTATTTTCGATTATATATGATCTTTTTCAATGGATTTCATATACGATCTTATATATTGATTATTCATCGGATTTATTATTATAGATATTCTCGAATAAAGAATTTCTATTATTAAAGGTAGCGGGATAATTCCAATATATATAAATAAGCAGAATATCAAAATATCAATGATCATTTTCAAATCAATCTGCAGAAAATATTTCTATGAAATATCATTATATATCTCTCATCATCGAAGATCTATCTGAGAGTTCATTTATATTATATTCTTATCTTTTTTATCAATTATTTATCTATCTTGAGAAAAAAGAATTTCGATTTTAGATAATCTTTTTTTGAATCTTAATGATGAATTATATTTCTCTGATTATCCAGATAATATTTCGGATTATAATTCTATTCTTTATTTCTTAGATTTCTTTGATCTCTAAAGATAGGCTCAATTATCGTATATTTCCGAAAGATTTATTCATTCTATTTAGTTCGTCTTCTGATGAATATTCTATTTCTATTTCTCATATTTATTTTATTGATTATATCTATTTTATTTCATCGAGCAATCTTTCAATATATAGTTTTTTTCTTGAATTAATTGAAGAAGAAAATCTGATATTCTATTATCTTATTCGTCTATCTATTTCAGAAAATATCATATATTTATCTATCGTAGATTCTTTCAAATTTATCAATTTCTATATTTTCAATGATTTCTTTCAAATTGATCAATTTCTATATTCTCAATCATTTCTATATGATATCTATAGAAATGAATTCGATAGATATATTTTCGAGAATATATTCTTGATTATGAATATCTAAATTGATGATTTTATATGATATTATAAAGATAGGAAATATGAAAAATATTTCAATTATTGAGAATATCTAAATATCTCAGATTTGATAATTTAGATATAAACGAATTTATTATGAGAATCAATCATTAATGATATATGAAAGTTTTTTTATGAAATAAATTAATAGAATGATTTTCATATCTAAGAAATTTTATTTTCTGTTATAGTTTTCTTAATATTCTTGGAATTAATTCAGTTGTGGACCCCAATAGCAGGGTGGTATTATTTTTTGATCTTCACGAATTTCGTTAATCTCAAATCATCCCAAGAATACCAACCCAGGAGATATC